TGTGATCACAGCTCAAAGAAGGAATTTTGGTGATTTTACTTCTATTTAGTGCATTTCGGAGCTTTACAGAAAAAAATTAAATCTGGCATAGATAACTCAAATAAATATAATAAAACAATGAAATAAATTCAAATGGACTTGGTTTTCCCCATTTAGTGCATTTCTTCGTTTTATCTCATGGCAAAAACCTGGTTTCCATGGTAAACTGAAACGTAACAATGAAAAAAAGAAAGAAGATTTACAGAAAAAAATTAAATCTATCTGGCATAAATAACTCAAATAAATATAATAAAACAACGAAATAAATTCAAATGGACTTGGTTTTCCAATCAAAGAATAAAAGATTGAGCCAAATTACGTCATCTCTTTCAATTAAAACAGTTCAACATAAATAAAAATAATAAAATAGACTTAAATATTTACCAAATACCACAATGCAATTACATTTAGCCTTATGTAACAGCAAGATCATTCCTCTTTGGTTCCTTCTTGAATGATTTTTATTTTTTTTGTGATTCATTTTAAGGGTTACTTAAGCATTGTTATCTACGAATCATTGATAAACTTATATTTCATAAAAATAGTACTATTTTATATTGATTTTGCTAGTTTTCAAATAATGATATAAATTATATTTTAAAAAATTATTAAAATTTTAAATTAAATATGGTATCATTTGGATGATTATACAACTTAAGACCTCAACTTAAAACGTTTGGATGTATCTTTGAGTATTAAATTAAACATGGTAACATTTTGATGATTATACAACTTAAGACCTCACCTTAAAACGTTTGGATGTATCTTTGAGTACAGCTCATGTAAAGAAAACGCAAAAGTCACTTTTGATATCTAGATAAAGTAGGATTCAAGTTGAAGCCGCCACTTCTTTGAAATAAGATCACCAAATAATTTGTTTTATTAAACAAGATTCATTCTTTCTTTGCTGAAACTCAAATGAAAAGGGTAAAAAACAATCAGGTAGAACAAGTGAGTAAAACTATATATGCCGAGAATAGCAAAACCAGGATCATGTTAGGCCTTCACTGCAAGGCCTGCTTTGAGCTTCTGGATAGTAGCAACATCAGTTTTAAAAGCCTTGGCCAGGATATTATCATCAACGCCAGTAGCAAACACAGTTGTGGGCACAGATACAGTGCCGGCATTTGCACTGCCAAAGGCAGAGATAGCTGTGGCAGGGTTCTGGGGATCGGCATTAGACTGATAGTGCACGAGTCCCTTGGGGAACACAAACATGTCACCGAGTTGAAGAGTCTGGGTAAAAAGTTTATTGGTGGTGTCGACGAAGCCAACCTCAAGGCTTCCGTCGACAACGAAGAGGAGCTCAGCAGAACGCGGATGGATGTGAGGTGGGTTGATTGTGCCGAGCGGGTACTCAAGGACAGCGAAGGAAACACTCTGCCCGTTAAGAGCTGGGAACTCTGCCATGCCAGCTTTTGTCACCTTGAAGTTCGGTGGGTAGTCGCTATCAAAGAAGCCTCTGAGGGCGGTAAAGGTGAAGAAATCCCCATCAATGTTTGTTAGATTTGCCGGGACTACAAAGTCGGTGATGATATCGGGATCACTTGCTGTGACCACAGCAATGAATGTCACAAAAAGAACTGCGTTTATCAAGCTTGAGGCCATGTCAGTGCTTATATTTACTTCCAGCAAATTGAGTAACTAGCAGAATGGATGATTTTTGCTTTCAGTGCTGAATGCCGATCAATACCGCTGCATCAGGCACTTATACTGGTGCCCTTGAACATTGTTCGGCATGCATTAACAATGTCAATTGCTGGCATGATGGCCAGCTGTGATTGATGAGGTTCTCTAGGTTTCTCTGCCCTGCTTCAACAGGAAACAAGGCAACAGGACAGCTTAAACACGCAATTACAAGCATACAATTTTAGTAATGATCTTGAAACAATGACCTTGTAGTTTCCAACAGTACCAGCTGTCTCCTACGCCTGCACCTTGTAGTTTTCAGTCTTCCCTTAATTTACACCGTTCCTCCATCAAAAATTAATTTTAAAAAATAAAAAAATATTATTTTAATATATTTATAAATAAAATACATTCTTAGAAAAGTATCAATCTATACAATACCAATACCAAATACTACCATAACATAGTAGTTAATTAGTTGTTTTTTCATTTGAAAATATATTAAAATGACACCAATACCAAATACTACCGTAACATAGTAGTTAATTAGTTGCTTTTCAAGGTTTTTTCATTTGAAAATATATTAAAATGATATTTTATTATTATTATTTAAAAATTATTTTTAATATTAATATACAAAATTTAAAAACACTAAAAAAACATTAATTTAAAATAAATAAAAAATATGAAAACGAAAAATATACAATTGCTTAGCCGTGTAGAAAGAGCGGGGGCACTTATCCACAGAGAATTATTCAAACACAACCTCGGACTTTTGAGCACATCAAGATCGACAGTGATATGTTGAAGAAGCATGTAATATCAATAGCTGCGATTCTTTCAATAAAAACCATGTCATCGGGAACCACACCCCCTCCCTCCCTAAAGCCTGTCTCTTTCTACTTCCATTTTCATTACTGAATCTGATTTGTTTTTGGCTCACCAACAACGGTATCAACCTCGACTGGTTTCTATTGTGTATGATACAAAGGGTTACTTAAAATCAAAATCTTGGTAGGTGGAAGCTATGTTTTTTAGGTTATTTTGTTATATTAATGTTAAAAATTTATTTACAAAAATAAAAAAAAAATATTATTTCAAACCGCAATATCAAACTAGCTTGAAATTTATAATAATATTGATTTTTCAAATATAAAATTTTAAATTCACCTGTTAATAAACCAGTCTCAAGGTTAGTTTTGAAAATAGATTTAGATTATTAAGTAATTGATGTAATTTATAGATACCAGATTAATGTAAATTAATTATTTTTATTTAAATAATGTTTTTTTTTAAATTAGCCCGATTCCATCTAATTATATATCTACTAGATTTTAATAACTTAGTTTTCATTTAATTTATTTGAAAATTTAACTCAAATTAAACTTCGAAACACAGAATTGTTAATTGAACTAAATTGAGTTTAACAGCCGTTATACACACCCTGGCCGCTCCCAGTCAACCAAAAAAAAAAAAAATATTAGAGTCCATCATCCATATCCAAATGCAAGTCTAGAAGCCAGATTTATCCCAGTAATAATAATAATAAAATATCTGACGTGGCAAATTAAGGTTATCCAAAACTCTGTATTTGGGCTGCTTTCGAGCCAAGATTCCAAGTGGAAGACACGTGCCAAGTACCCATTTCGCCACGTGGATAGAGAACTTGAAATGCACAACAAGACTAAAACTGGCCGTTTGAAAAGGAAAGGAGAAAAGCTTTGGCGGGGCACGGCTTGTTATTATTAATTATTCTAAAGTGACAGCTGCTACATCGAGAGGCACCAGACGTCAACCTCCGACCGACAGGGCGGTGACCGCTTGCCGACACTACCATAAAGATGAGCACCTCCATCTGGTAAGCCGTGACCCATTTTCACCTGAATTCCATGATGGTTGCGCATGGCCTATGACAAAAGACAAGTAGCTTTGTCTTTATTAACAGTGAGTGAGATAAAATTGGGTGGTGGCCTGTGGTGGTCAGTTGCCAAAGATTGTCTTTGGCAATAAAGATCGAAGACTTTGTAAAATCTGTTCAAATTCAAGGGAAAGGGAAACAATTTTGAATAATTGG